CAGATGTTAAAGGATTTGATTACCTTATACAGAGTTGTATTAGTTTAAGTAAATGTTTAAAGATATGGAGTATCCTCATGCTTAGCAGTTAACTTTTTATTTAGGAAAATAATTAAATATATAAACTTTAAAAAAGCTTCCAATCAATTATTTTAATCAAAGTTTCCTGGGTTCTTAGTTAAGCCATGATTAAAATCAGTGATTTAAATCACAGTGTTTGAAATCAATCCACAATTATGTCTACAGTGTTTTGATTCAATGATAAATAAATTGAAGAGGAACAGAGTAACTCCTTGTCAAATCCCATATATCCTCAGCTGAATCCCCAGTTTCTTAACCAGGAATTTTTAACAAGGGGAAATGGCTTTAAACTGGAAGAGGTTAGATTTAGACTAGATATAAGGAAGAAACACTGTACTGTGAGGGTGGAGAATCACTGAGCAGGTTGCCCAACAAAGCTGTGGATGCCTCCTCCCTGGAGGCATTGAAGGCCAGGCTGGACGGGGCTGTGAGCAGCCTGGTCTAGAGGGAGGTGTCCCTGCCTACAGCAGGGGGTTGGAACTAGATGATCTTAAAGGTCCCTTCCAACTCAAACCATTCTATAATTCTGTGTCCTGTAGCACATACACAAAATACTTGTCCCTCCAGAATCAAAATTTTATACAAGTCTTTAAACTCCATTTGAACCCAGTTAAAGCACATTCAAACCCAACATTATTGACCCCTCTCCAAGTGCCCCAGTGCACCCACTGAAGCATATGGCTGCTACAAACATGCATCCTTGAGGCAAAACTGGGCTCAGAGTCTTTCACTTAGGGCCATCTATTCAGACAATACCTATACATATTATGCAGCTTTAACACAGTGTGAAGTTGTAGATGTTTCCAAAGAATGAGCTCAAAATCATGTGTTAGATGTTGCTTAATATCCTTTAATGCCAAAAATCATTGCAGATAGCTTGACTGCAAGTAGCCAAGTCTTCCCTTTCAGTTTGCGTGTCTTCCCTACAGACCCGAAGGACAAATATGTCCAGGGTATAAAAGGACATTAAGAGTCTTGAAGAGAAGGGCACAATGCACATTTGCTTCTTCTCCATTCTGATGCACTGCTGTTTCTAAAACAAGCTCTTTTCTCCACTTTTAGGGCAGTGAGGCAAAAGATGATTCCCATTTATTCCTGACTGCCTTCTTCAACAGATAAAGCATGCCAGCTCTGTACTACTTCAGCTTTACCACAAGGCTTGCTGGAAGTTTCAGCTATTTATTGGGAGATTTACTGTATCTTGTTTGAAGAGATAAGGCTACTGAATAATTAACACCGATATCTTTTTCCCACAAGTTCATTAAGCGTTAAGCTTATTATTTGTATCACAATAGAGCTAAGATCCCCAGTTGTGAGTCAGGATCTCTGTTAGACTCTGCATAGATAGGCATGAAAGCATTTGGCCCAGAGAACTTACGTTCTTTGAATCAGAACATAATGTGCAAAACAGACAGGGACAAATATACAGAACAGCACTGTGAAAGCTCCACGTGGAAGCCGTCTAGTTGGGGAACAGCTGCACCAAATATTATTCATGCACACGCAAGACTGGCCATTTTGGAAACTCTGGTCCATGTTGTGTCTGTACTGTAATGCTCTTAACTCACAGCAGAGACTAGAAAAGAAAGAAGCACTGAGCTGTCTTCCCTGTGCCTCTGTCCAGATGGTATCACTGCACATCTCAGCAAGTGTAGCACACAAGCATCTATTTCAGTAAGAAAAGGAAGCTGTGATTTTAAAAGATGATGCATTTTTCATATGAAAACTTGCTGGGTGATTGTACTGCTTCAGTCTTTTTTTGGACAGCAAGTTTTTCCTATCCACCTGGAAATCCTACTTGAAATGCACATTTCTAATTGCATTTCTAATTTCACCACTAAAATGATCTGGCCTTACCAGCAACCAGACAAGGAGCCAACACAGAAATGGCTCAATCCCAGGCAGGAAATAATGTAATATTCTCATTAGTGATGTGCTTTTATTGTGGAAATTCTGAAGTGAAATGCCTAAGGGAAAAATCTGTGTTCAAGGAAAAGGGCAATGTCCTAAACTGTGCTTAAAGACACATTGCCTCCTCTGAATTTCAGAACTGATCCCAGTCAACTGCCTGCTCAGGTTGCGACAGCACAGGCTGCTGGCACCACCCACCCTGAGCACAAGGACAGCTCTGCTCTGAGCTGGACACTGCTCTACACCTCTTGTGCATTCAAGGTGAAACTCAAGCCAGCATTGCACTTTCTGACAACCAATGTCCACCTAAACTAGGCATTTTTATTCTCAAACGCCTACGTCAATTCACTCACCTGCTTAACTAGTGAGAATTCACTGATGAAAAGACTTCACAGAGAAGCATCAGAGATAACCTGGGGAGCCACTGGCACAGGCTGCCCAGAGAGGTTGTGGATGCCCCCTCTCGGAAGCATTGAAGCCCTGTCTGCAAGGGGCTGTGAGCAGCCTGGTCCAGTGGGAGGCATCCCTGCCTATAGGAGGGGGTTGGAAACCAGATGATTTTAAAGGTCCTTTCCAACCCAAATCATTCTATGATTCTATGATGAGCTGGTAACACAGCCAATCTACTTGCCTCTGAGTAAATAAGTAATAATAATTACATGTTTCAATTTGGCTCGGGCTCTTCTCACTCTGACCATAAGAAATACATACATGTAAGCATGTGGCCATAATACAAAGGAAAGCAGAAGGAGCTTAAGACAATACAAACCAATTATTATGATGTATAAATACTCAGATACTGTTTAAAACACAAATACTATCTAACCAGATACATTATTTACATTACTTCCTTACTAGGACCCAAAGAAAAATAACCTCTTGTCTTCGACAGAATCTTGAAAATCCTCAATTGTCCAAGCCATAACGTCACACTTCTAGTCTTTCAAAATCAGTTTCAACATCCTCTCTTTTCCACAATTTGATTTTTAAATACCAAGCATTTGTCCCCTGCATCTGGCCTTAAACTTCCTGCCAACTTCAATGAAAACTCCACTGGATATATCTAGCAGTGTCTAAGGAACGTGGATGACTAACTTCTGATTTATAGCATCTGTGCACCAAAAAAGACTGTCTTATAAAATGAGGATTAAAAAAGAAGTCACTGAAATGCTACAATTATTCCAGGTAACATATATGTGGAATGAAATATATATGTGGAATGAAATACATATTTTTATATATACACATATATACATATATATCATACATATATGATAATATATATATTATCATACATGCATATATGTGTGTGTGTGTGTATGATAAAGAAGTGCCAACAACCCAAGCAAAAATAAAAGGGAAATTATTTATTCAATATTTTTCCTTCTGATCTTTATGGGTGGGAACTATCAGACTGTAACAGTATTCACATTCACGATATTCAAGAGGTTAAAGCCCTGTATTGAGAAGCATTTGATTTTCCTTGAAAGCACCCAAGAAAAGCTATCAACAAGCCTTCAATTTGTGTGAAGTAAGAGACATGAGAAAACTACATGCCAACACTAATGTAGGTATTCCAGTTTCCTTCTACATCACACAAACCAGCCAAACTTGATTTACATTCGGTTTGTTGGACTTCTTCACCTTCAATTTTCTTTGCTTTGAGGAAAGCTGCCTCCAGTAATCTACTTGAATCAGGGAAAACTGACAGCAATATAGGACAGAAAATGGATGCTTGGTATGAATGAGATTCTCTTCTAAAAGGACTTATGAAAACAAAACAAAACAGCTGAGTTACACATAACATCCATTTAAAGGGCAAAGCATCAGAAAAGATTGAAGGGTTTCACTCAGGAGTAGTGAAAGTGATTTGGAACACTTCAGACTAATTACAATTTACTCTTCGGTGTCAGCAAGAAAGGTTTTTCAGTATCTGTGTCAACTTTTGGTGCTACAGTAGCAGCTGTATACCACTGAGCACACTGCTAGGAGGACACTACATTACTATTTCTTTAGTTACAAACACATGCTGATCCAAATTTCATTTGCTTAGAGCAGGGGTCTCCGAAACAAAATGATGAGAACCTTGCACTGTATCTTCTAGGGCTTTCCACAGATTCCTGAATTCTTTCTAACCAATCAGACTCATGCATTTTCATCTCCAAGCTGACAGCTAGAATGCAATAACTTATCAGACAGAAAGGCACAGGATCAAAAAATCAGATTTCATTTTCCATCTTTCTAAGTGTCTGATTACACTTTTTCAGCCAAATTAGAAAACCTGAGATGCACTTGACTCATCCACTGAGCACAAACATCACCCAATTATGCCTTTACGTTGCACTTTGCAGTCCTAGGATTTCAAAGTCTTATGCTTAACTTGCTTTCTCGCTCTTTTCTAGGTTGTTTGTTGGTTTTTTTTGAGTGATTTCTTGAGAACTGTTCTTGAAAATGAATGGTTTCTGCTCACAAATTCATTTCAGTATCAATCTGTCAAAGGCAAACCTGGTGATACTCCCTTAAAGAAATAATTTAAATAAACTCTTAGACTTCATTAAATTGTTGAAGTGATAAAGAGTAGAAGAAAATTAACTTCCTATAACATTGTTCTCTTTTTAATACTTACATCTGAGTAACTATACACGGGAAAACTGGAATCTATCAACTCTGAAACCTCTGATTTCATCAAGAAAATACTTTTCCAATGCCTATAAAAGAAAATGAGCCCTTCAGAACATCCAATTTCTGGGTAAAAGTCATTTGTTCATACTGAAATGAGTAAATGTCTCCTCTGAGCTGTCAAACCAGACAATTCCTGAGAATCAAAAATACAAAAAATGAAGAAGAAAAAAAAAGATGATTATCAGAGGCAGCCCAGAGTTCTAAAAGGAGGACAAAAATATATATATGTGCATCAAAAACCTAAAAGATTGAATCAAACTAGTTTTGATCAAATGCTGATGAGCCCAAAAATGCAAGAGGATTCAGAAAGAAGACGGCGTACTTACTGCTTGAGGCTGACAGTTCTTTTGGGCTGGAGGACATTGGCTGAGCACACAGCTGACAGAGACAGTCCCTTCCATTAAAGGTAACTCGATCACCTGGTGGAAATGGACGCCTGGGTTAAAGAGAAAAATGTATTTTAGCAGAGATTATGCCAAAATTTTTGTTCTGGTCCCTATGCTGCGAGCTTGCTGACTTCTCCCTCTGCAAATAACATGTTACAGTAACTCAGGCCAAACAGTTTCTGCAATATGGCCTTGGCAAAGTCAGGCACTGGAAAAAATCCAATCCACACATGCAAGAAGAGCAGAGGTCAGACTTAACTTACTGAAACCACAATACAAGACATTAAACACATTTTATCTAAGGAGAAGATGACAGAGAAATCTGCTTAGACACAACAGCTACATTTACAGCAGTCTCAGCATGATGCTGTTGACAGCAAACAGTACAGCAGGGTATTCAGATGAAGCACTTGTCTGAGGACAGGGAACTCAAAAATAGATTAGCTTAATCTGTGCTCAGCAATGAAATACATATTACTGTGGATGTAATGATTCACAAAAAATGAAGTGCTAGCTGCTTTCATTATCCGAGAGTTTTAAAATACTTATCTGTGTTATAGAAACACCCCTAACTGTTGCTTGTGCAGATGGTGTTAGGAGAAAGGTAAAGGCTGAATGGACTACAGAAGTTTGAGATTATCTGATGAACTCAACGAGCATTAAAAGTTTGTGCTGGGCAAAGCTGACATTGCTGCTCTTGTTTGGTGTATAAATGCACGAGCATTTCACTAAAATGAGAAGCTTCAGCAACTCCAAATACTTAATGAGGAGCTTTACCCTTCCAAATACAGACTGCCCTACACTACGCATCATTTCAACACAATGCTTAACAAATGAACATCCGTATATCTCTACAAAATGAAACACATATGGCATTGTTCTAGTTTCCTTGTTTGTATTCCCTGTAGAACTAAAAACTGCTTTACTTCTGGGGGACAGGACACAGTGCTTAGAAAGAACTGGGGGAAACAGAGCTGTCCCAAAGACAAGTGTTACTACGTGTTGTGCACATGAGCCCTCAGGTGTTTTCAACTGTTCAACTGAATTTATAGTCCCAATAACTTCTCCACTGTACTATCCAGGAGTTTGCTCTACCTCTTTTTTCATTTCTGAGCTGGACTCATCACCACAGCTAAACCCATGCCTGTAGGGGCATATAAGTCTAGTATTCCTTCACATGTGAGAATAAGCTTCTGAGAACAGGGAGCTACATGTGACAGAGAAGCTACCTCCTGCAGATAAATGAGTGGTATTTTGAAGACACTCAGACTTGCAGCACTTCCAAACAAATGTTTCCTACAAAGATCTTGCGACTTCTGTCTCACGGCGATGCTTTTCTCCCTGATGTTGTACTGGGTTCAGGTCACACAGGCTGAAAGAGATGACTTACTTGCAAACTGTACAGGCAAAGCAGTTTGGATGGTAAGTTTTTCCCAGAGCTGTCACTACTTCTCCTTCAACAAACTCCCCACACCCGTTGCAGCGGGTACCATACATGCGCTGGTAATCCAAGGTGCAAAGGTATTCCCCATTCTTAATGAAAAAGCCTCCTTGTGCCAAGTCACAGCCACACACTGGAAGAAAAAAAACACAACACATTGGAAAAATATACCTACAAGATGTCAGAAACAGTCTGTGCTGCCAGCAGATGAGATTACCTTGGTGGTCTTGCTTCTCTACATTGGATTCTTGCCTTCACCTTCATGACATGCTTTGACAACACAGGAGATGACTGGCATTTTCTGGCTACAGAGCACCTTGTAATCAAAAATTTATTTGGAGAAACCTACACAGTTACAACTTTCATGCATTCAGGCCTCACCAAGACCTCAGTTATCTTGTATCATCCTGTTAATCATGTCAGCAGAGCTGTATGGAAAAATGGAACTTGGGATTTGATTTCATGCTATTAAATATAAGATACGATACAGTACAAGATAGTAGCTCTCAACTACCTGGTTTTATATTTTCCAGTCACTAAGAACTAGTTCAGTTGAACTTCCTTTAAAATGTGGAGTTACAAGGGACAGACAGCACGTTAAAAGAAAAGAAATCTCACAACAAAAACTTGAGGTTCATCCTCCTACTAATTGCCTATAGCACTGTTTACCTTCCTGATCTATTTCTAACATTATCACTTCAGGTGGAAAGATCCTTCTCTGAGCTGGTGAGCCTTAGGACTTCAGCATGAAGCATGAAGACCCACCAGACCTAAAACAACTGCCACTGACCCACTGCAGAAAGAAACATCCTCAAATCAACCCTACTGAATTACAGGGTATGCATGTATTGTAACTCAGGAAAGACACTGGAGGCAGCTGAAATACAATTATGTCATGTCAAGTTATTGGTAGATGCAGAAACATTCTTAGGGAAGAGAAACAAGGCCTGCCTTCAGAAATATGTTCTGCATGGCGTTTACACCTGGTCATCACCAGTTCAGAGCTGTACTAGGAACAGGATGCTCTGCAGAATTTTTGTTTTTGCAGACCTTTATAATGCAGAGCTTGAGAACAGAAGACAGCACAAAAGAGAGCAGAGAAGTCTCTCTAGCATAATTCTATGGCCAGACAGAAGAGATGGTCAGCTTAGCACAAACCTTACACCGCAATATGGAACTGCAGCTCCTATCCGAGCTCTCTCCAGCATTCCTGAACACATTTTCAATATGCACGGAGCCCTCTCATTTTGGCACATCTTCTACACAACACTGGACCTTGTGAGAATTTCCCTTCAACAACTTGAAGCACTTGCAGGAATGCTTCCAGCAGGGGAAGAGGTTAAGCCCCCGAGAATAACATCAACCAAACCACTTCCCATGAAAGGTCTGCACTGCATCAACATCTCCATGCAGTTTTACTGTGGCAGAAACAAGCTGCAGCTGAATTTGTGTTCAGGGTCTTTGTTCAGGGTCAGCACACTGTTCAGTTACTCCACCTAAATCTCTGCACGGTGCCACAGTGCAAACTGTGAATGACCCTATTTGTTTGGAGCTAGCTGGGAGAGCTCTTTATCGTACCACGCAGACAGCCCCTCTAACTCATAGGTACCATTAGTGTTGGTAGATACAAACTCTACAGTTTATCACAATGTTTGAGAGAAAACACTGTAGTAATAACAATTCCAACAGCAACAATATAAAAGACCATAACTACATAGATGTAACAGGTGTGGTTGCTTAGCTGCATGGTTTACAGTTTGTAGAAAAGAACACAAATTCATGTTTAACGTTACTTAATGTTAATTAATTTGTGTTTAATGACCAAAAACATGGTCATTAAAAAAAAAAAGTCACTTTGAGAGAAAAATTCCACGGGCTAATGGGAAATTCTCCCAGAGGCATTCACTGATTTGATGCCACCAAAGCAAACCCACGCAATTCTTTCTTATAAGGGCTCCTGGAAGAGTATCAGGAAGGAGGTAAGGACACACAACCTACTTTTATGCACATTTTGTATCAGAATCAGGCATCCCTTCTCAGCCCAAATCACAAACTCAGTGATCCTACCTGCTCTCTGTTCTGGTCTGCAATACTGCAGCATGGTCATCAGAGCAGAACCAAACTTTCCACCTACTTTCCTGGCTCAAATACTTTATTTGTTATCAATCTGAAGTGCTAAAGCTTGTGTCAGATTACATTGCCAAGCAGGAGAACAAGATAGGGAGCATTACAAAGCGTTTCTTCCCCTATCGCATGTTCATATTGCTGTGAATGTACGCTAACAGACTTAAACTGGAAAAACAAGGGATTTACAGCTAAGACAACCAGTGCAAGGCAAACTTAGAAACTTTCAGCCTTGGAAGCTGCCCACAGGTCCTTAACAGAGGAGTATAATGGCTCTGATCTCAAGAGGCAAAATACAGCAGCTCACCTCAAAGAACTTACAAAATAAATGTGCCAACAGCACAGCGGGTTCTGCCCCATTCCCACACACTTGCTCAAGGAAAATGTAGTTTGTGTGGCACAGCCTTGCTTTCACTTCAGGGCCTGGTGAGAGCAGAAGATATGTTTTCTCAAATAAAAGAGATTTTACTCTTCTATACAGTACCACACATTTCTCCTCGCAAGCGAGTGCTTTATTTTAATAAGCTTTCATGTGGCTGCTTCTTTTTGAAACAATGAATATTTTAGAGACGTTGTGTGGTTTAGATTAACTCCTCCATTCCCCAGGTAACTGCTGCTCCACCATCAGTGCTTCAGAAAGTGTATCTGAAAGTGTATCTGAAATATTCAGGGTAACTTTTCAGTGTTTATTTACACCTAAGTACTGAGAGAAGGCTGAAGTAAAGAGAAAAAAAGAGATTAAAAATTTTGCCACATCTCTCTACTATGTATAATTTATGATGCAAGCAGCCAAATTATATGAAAATATACTGGATCTTGAATACACCAAATGTGAAAAGAGTATTAACCACATGTATTTTACACAAATTAATTTCCCAAGAACTTACCTTTAAGTGTTACCTTTAAGTGTCTAATCTACACTGCTCATGTTGGTCATTTACACACTACATTTTCTGGTACTTCATGGATTAGATAAATAACTCTACATTTGAGTACAGAACAGGGGCCATGTAAAGTGCTAGCCATGCATTGCTCTACTGGTAAAAATAATTGTACTGGTTATAGCATGAAGGACTGTCAAGGATTAATTTGACTTGGAGTCAAGAGTCAATTTGAGTATTAAATTATTCAGCAGTGTCAACAAGATGCCTGTTTTGCTCTAAAAAGATATCCATAGTACTACACTAGCACTTTTGGCCAGCATGAGACAGAAAGCAATCCTTTCCAGAACAGCCAACTCCTATGAAGAGAAAGTGACATGGGAGATGAAAGACTGAATTTCACAATTCTGCTTTAATGTGAGAAGTCAAGGACTTAACTTGAAACCAACATCCTGCGGTAGCATCAAAAACACTGGACTGCTTGTTTCATGTGGGATTTTAAAAGTCTTCTTTATGCATTTCTATGAAAAAGCATAAATATAAGCCGCTAGCTGGCTTCTTAAAAAACCTACATACAGCAGCTCCCAGTATTTTTCCCAGTGGTTTCAGCCACTCCTATCACTTCTTTGTGTATCGCTTTGTCTGTGGAATCGAGTAACAGAAACTGCTGTTCACAATGGTCTAGAACATCAACTTATGCCTTACACTGCAAGTGGTTCCATAATAACCCTCTTCATAACACTTGAGAACACTCAGATCAAATATCATAAATTCTGATTATTAAGGGATAAGTAAATAAGCAGCAGTTACTTAGAGTTCTTGAAAAATGTAAATATGAAACTCAGAAAGAGGATCAGGGAAACAAGTTCCAATGCATCTCCTGCCACAGATACCAAGTATGTCACTTACAACATTCATTCTCTCCCTTGTTATTTCGGGCTAATATCACATTAGCTAACTGCCTTGAAAATTAAAATTGCAAGATGCTTAGGGCAGGGATTGTAAGCTCTCTGTGTCAGTCTGGTGCCAAGCCCTAGAGATCTAATGAATGCTACTGTAACAATAATTAATGGAACACTAACAAAAAGAACACACTAAGATGCAAGTTAGAATTGAAGCAGTATCAGCACTGGCATCCTTCTGGTTTCACACTTCTGCATAGAACAGTGTTAATATTTCATGTGCAAACAAATTACATTTCACGGTGGCATTAAATCCACAAGCAGACAAAACTCAATTATCAGTGTCTTTGGAGAATTACAGAGAACTATTGTTAAGGCTTTATTATAATGCTGCAAAAATGCTCCAAGATGGTTTTCAGATACAGCTCCAGAAAGAAAAAGAAAACTTTTATTCTTCCCTTTTTTCTATTGATCTCCATTTTGTTTAAAATACTCTTTACAAGTTAACATGGCATTATTACATGACCATTAGACAGAAAACAATGCATTCCACATCCCTACTTCATCTTAGGCTAATCCTGGTTTGGGGACCATCTAGACATTTTCCACTAGAGGTAAAGCCTAAGTACACCTAGGATAGGTTTGCTTTTCCAGGTCACCTTCAGTGGATCCAGTTAAATCATGGAGAAACTGAGAATATCTACTTTAACACCTAAAAGCTGTTAGCTGTTAGCATTCAGACTGCTGGAACTTGTGCTTAGAATGCATGAATTGGAGTACTGCCATGGAGGGCTTAAAACTATGCGCTTCAGAAGGTGCTACATTTCATACAGGGCTATGGAATACTCACATGTCTACAGAAAAGTTTCTTCATACCCTCCTTCAGTTTGTGTTTTAGCTTGCAGCTTTAAGTCTACAAATAATGCAGCTTCAAGTTAAGGCACTCATCATGCACTGGATTTGCCTCAGAAGCTGCACATAGTAACCTTCTGGCTCTTTGCTGTGGTTCTCAGTTCTACCAGTGAGTCACCTTTTAGTCACCACAGCTTACTTTACCTGCCTAGACAATCAGTTTAGTAAGGAAGGATAATGAAAAGTAACTTTCAGTGCCACTTCTGTTCTAGCTTCCTCTGCCATTCCATCTTCAGTGCCATACAAAGGGCTGTGGCAGATATATCATTTGTAAAAAAAAAAAAAAAACAACAAAAAAACAACATTACAAACTA